GAGGAATTAAGGAACCTTGTAATGAGGGTGAAAGAGGAGAGTGCAAAAAATGGTCTGAAGCTCAACATCAAAAAAACTAAGATCATGGCCACTGGTCCCATCACCTCCTGGCAAATAGAAGGGGAAGATATGGAGATAGTGACAGATTTTACTTTCTTGGGCTCCATGATCACTGCAGATAGTGACAGCAGCCCCGAAATTAAAAGACACCTTCTTCTTGGGAGAAAAGCGATGACAAACCTCGACAGCATCTTAAAAAGCAGAGACATCACCTTGCCAACAAAAGTCCGAATAGTCAAAGCTATGGTTTTTCCTGTAGTGATGTATGGAAGTGAGAGCTGGACCATAAAGAAAGCTGACCGCCGAAGAATTGATGCTTTTGAATTGTGGTGCTGGAGGAGACTCTTGAGAGTCCCGTGGACTGCAAGGAGAACAAACCGATCCATTCTAAAGGAAATCAATCCTGAGTGCTCACTGGAAGAACGGATCCTGAAGCTGAAGCTCCAATACTTTGGCGCTTGGAGAGGCAAATATAATGAAATCTTTGGTGGGGAATAAAAGAGTGCTAACTGTGGAGTCCCTGTCAAACACAGGTCATCATGCGCTGATGCTACTAAAGCCTTTGTAGATTTTATTTATTTATCTATTTAAATGCTTTTGACATTGGTCATCATGAGCTGATGCTACTAAAGCCCTTGTAGATTTAATATATTTCTCTATTTAAAGTACTTTTGACCCAACATTTCCCCTTAAAATGATCCAAGATAGATACAGCTGCATTCAAAATGCCCTCAGAGATGTTGAACATGACTTGGGGCAAAGACCCGAAGCTCAGACATGGGCAGACAAAATAGATTCTCTTGAAACTGATGGCCAAGACCTGGAACTTAAGTCTTGAACGGTTCAGCAGAACACAAAAAGCTGTTCAAGGAGTTGAAGTTGACCTGGAGAATGGGGTGGCTGTAATTTATTTTCTGGAGAACTTTCTGAAATCACTTTGGGACAGGTAATAAGAGTTGGAACTGGATGCCAGGAACCTCTGTGCCAACACAGACTACAAAGCAACTACAGGGAGGTCAAGAAAGAGAAAAAATATGTTATGGTGTGAATCCATCATCAGTCTTAGAGGAAGTTGCCCTTTCCTCCAGAGAAGAATTCAGATGTGAATCTTTTAATGTCATTTTAGATCAGTTGTCTTTGGCCTTACAAAACCGCAGGGCAGCATATCAATCAGAGTAGGGCAGGTTCAAAGTCATAGCCAACTTATGTTGCCAGCTTGATGCAGAGATAAGAACTGAAACTATTTATCACTGCTTTCCAAAGTGAATTCACCAAGGTGATGTTGCTCTAACAATCAGTGTGCAGGGTACGGTGGGCTGTCCAAGGTGCAAAGGAGCTTGTCCCTCCATGATTGGGAAGAAATATATTCTTTGGTTCTCTTTTGCCACTGAATTAAAAATGGACTTCTTTTTTCCTTTCAGGATCTTATCTACAGCCACCTGAAGCTTCTGGAGGAGGAAAGAGCTGAAATTTTAACATGCAAAGCAAATACAGAAGAAGAAAGCCAAGACTTACTTGTGAGTATCAGCGTCCCTAAAAAGGGAACAGTTTCTTAAACTAGCATGTGGAAAATGCAAAATAACATGAGTAAGTAAGTAAAGTTTTATTATGTGGTCATAGACCCGATTATACAAAGATAAAATACATAAAATAAATACATAGTATAGTATAAAATAAATGCTTGCTATAGCGTTTTGCAAATTCTCATAGCTGAAAAAAAAACCTTAGCCACTAACTGTGTTATTATTTGATTCTCTCCAGACAACCAAAACTTCAGATAGTGGAAAATGCAAATATAACATAATCAGAATCCAGAGCCATGAACCAATCCTCCTTCCTAGCACTTTGTGACCTCACCCAACCCAGGCTTGTCACCTTTTAAAATATCTTTCCAGTCACGTGTTTGACACCAGCCAGTAACCACATTACACCCGGTAGCTGAAGAATGCTTCCCTGTTAACAAGTATATTGGTCAGGATTCCCATCACACACATCTATTGTTTAGGGTTGCCTGATAGATCACTGTTGTGGTGGGCTGTCATGTCGCCTCTGACTTACAGTGACCTTATGAATGAGTTGCCCTAGAGTCGGACACGACTGGACAAATTGTCAAGGGGAACCTTTACCTTTACCTACCCATAAATAAATAAATTGTCCATCCTCTTCTGCTAATACGTTTGTTACTCCAGGTATGAATGTATCTTAGTCTTCGGGCCATAGCTTAAGTGTTTCACCTGCTAAGAATCCACACTTGTCATGGGATCCAGCTGGAGGGCATTGCTTTCGGCTTCTCTCAGAGCCTCGCCATGTCATGATGTGCATCGAAGAAGGGGGATAGATCATTAGAAAAGAGTTAATGGAAGGACATTTGAAATGTGGATCCTTTTAGATGAGGGGATGGGCAAATTCCAAACTATACTTTCCTGCCTCTGGGAGTTGGAGGACTGCATCCATTTCTGCACCCAAACATGAAATATATTTCTTAAATCTTTTCAGCGATTACAGCTCACTTGTATCCTAGTGGGAAAACATTTTTTGTAGAAGGTTGAGGATGCAAGAGCTAAGCTCTCAAAACATGGCACAATAACACCACCAGTCCCAATCCTGAGACAAAAGAATTAATCCAATGGAACTTTTTCATATATAAAAATGTAACTTTTGCAGACTGGGATGAAAGGGGGGCTGGAGGTCCAGGAGCAAAAAGGGCCATGATTGATTCCTGGGGCCACATGCTATGATTTGTAGGCTGAATACGCATGTGCACACACAGACATTGAGCTATAGATAGATAGATGGAGATACAAAGATGGGGATACAGGCTTATTGGCCTACGCATCCCAGCAGTACTATATATATATATACCACTCCATGGTATATATATTATATAAGAGTTAAAGACTCTTTTCTGCCTACAAATCCCAACAGCCTTAGCCAGTGTAACCACCGTGGAGGGATTTGGGGAGGAACAGGAGAAGGACATCGGAGGGGCACAAGTCCCAACCCTGTTTTCACCTTTGGAGCCTTGACTTTTTGAGACCACCCTTCACAGGCCCTGCCATCAGCCTCCTTCCCTCCCCCTCCTTTCTGACTCTCCTACTGCAGAAAGAGACAAAGGCAGAGATGGAAAAGACAAAGGAACTGTTCAGAGAACTTCACTCCTTTTTGAACGAACAAGAGGAGCGTCAGTTGGCCCATCTGGAACAGGTGGAGAAGAAGATTGCAAGGAAAAGGGAGGAGCACCTGGCCAGGCTCTCCAGAGAGCTCTCCTCTCTTGGAGGTCTCATCCAGAAGATGGAGCAGAAGCGTCAGCAGCCCCCAGGTGAACTCCTGCAGGTAAGACTGGCAGAAGGAAGCCAGGCTGCTCTTCAGGGGAAAGCTGGCTCTGCAAAACATTTTTGGCCCCACCTACATGTAGAGAGAATCAACTTGAGTACATACAGAAGAATTGAGACAGTCAGGTCAGTGTGTTGACCTCAGTGTGGACTAAATATTGATGGGAGCACCTGCAGTTTTCACTTCTCTGCCAATGCTTTGATTCCAAGCCATGCATCATTCCTGCCTCCTCTTCTGAGCCTTTGCAAAAGAGCCGGTTCACCTCACTTGGAAACTGGTCACCAGAGCTGCTCTCATCCTTTGCTTCAGAGCCGGAACACTTCTCACGGATGACAAACACAGAGAGACACACAAACAGACACAGACCCCATTTAAATGGTTCTGCTACCTTCCAAGAATATTTTGCCCTAAAAGAGAAGAGATAAAAAAAACTCTCACCATCACCCTCATCCTTCAAATACCCTTTATTCAATCCCTATCTCTTGTGGCAGTTCAGAGGCAGGCATAGACTTTTTAAACAGTGCTTGTAGGAGATGATGGATCTCTCCTCCGCAGTGGGGTGGGCTTGGTGTGGAACATAAGGGGGGCCTGTGGGTGCCTCCCCAAAGACTGACGTGGTAGAAGCACTGATCTCCCTCTTCTTTCTCTCTTTTTCCCCCTCCAGGATGTCAGAAACCTCTTGCAAAGGTGAGTGGAGCTGCTCTTTTTTCATCAGGCCTTGATAATCCTGGGAGGGGCCTTTGTGGACGGAAAATGGTCTCAAACTCTCCTGGAGAGATGATGTTAGCTCTCGACCGCTGGAAGAGGGAACAACAAAGGTTATGCTCAGGAGCACCTCCTCCGTCCACCCAGGGCCACTGCCAGAGCACAATCCTTTCCTCCCCTCCATGGCTCCTTCCTGCCTTCTTTGTTTTTCTAACTCATTCTGCTATAACTGTTTTTAAAAATTACACTAAATGGGGGATTTGTGAATATCTCCGTACACGTTTGTTTTTGAGCGTCTGTTATTGATAGGATCCTCTGAGGGTCACTAATTCTAAGGGTTGCCGTAAGTTGGAAGTGGCTGAATAGAACACAGGAAAAACAGTAACATATTTCTTAAGCTCTTTCTGCATGGTATCTGACAAAGAAACTAATAAGAATACAGCAAGAATATTACAAACAAAAGCTTCGTGGAAACAAAGTTTGGAGTGGGTGATGAAGTGCTAAACTTTTCTAGGCAGTGTGAAAACCTTCGGGAGCAGGAGCAGAACACAGGAAAAACAGTAACATATTTCTTAAGCTCTTTCTGCATGGTATCTGACAAAGAAACTAATAAGAATACAGCAAGAATATTACAAACAAAAGCTTCGTGGAAACACAGAAAGTTTGGAGTGGATGATGAAGCCCTAAACTTTTCTAGGCAGTGTGAAAACCTCTGCGAGCAGGAGTTGTAGGTTGTATCTCCTCTCTGTCTATAGTTACAAAAAAGGCTCTTCCTGCCGATAACACCATTCGGCAACAGCTATTCATAGTAATTAAAGACACCTTTCTCCTCTCCTGCAGCTCCCAAAGTGGGTTGGAAAAGCTGTGGGATTGAAGGAGGGAGTTTTAATTGCTGAATTTCATCATCTCTTGATATCATCCGCCTTTCACAGCGATAGCTATGGAAACTGAGTTTCCTGGGATTCCTGTTATTCCTGCTTTTGGTTGTGAGGCAGAATGAGGACTCTTGGTCTCTAAGGGTTTGATCCGGGGAGACAAATGCTTGAACCAACTGCTACCCCCTGTGCCTCTTCAAAAGCCATTTTAAGCCATTCAAAAAACGGAAAGAGAAAAGGCCGAGATGCTGCTGTTTTGCAGTTGGTTCATTTCTTGCGGGAAAGGAGAGGGATGGAAGGTCTTAGGTCCCCACAAATCCCTCAAAGTTAAAACTACAAACGTAGGAAGGAAGAAAAATATTTTGTTTCATATTTTCAAACCTGAGGGACTGCAAAATGTCTCTGGGGGCCACATGCTGTTATTTCAGGTTTTCTGGAGGTTTCCACTCAGTCCCTTTGTTTTCCCGGAAATTCTGGGTAGGGTTAGGTAGGTTTGGAGTAACATTTGTTCCCTTTACCAACAGGCATGAGTACAAGGAACCCTTTCAGAATCCTGTGGCTTTCCCTCCTGAGCTGAGGTGGGAGATCTGGGAGATCCGTGAGAGGAATCAATTTCTAGCTGAGAAGACAAAACAGTTCAGAGGTAAGGCAGAGTGCCTGCAAAGACAGACCCTGGTCCTAGAGGGAACAAGATAGGAGTGTGGTTTTTGTTTTGTTGCATGAGGGATGGCAGTCACAAGGGAGAAAGCTCTTCCCAGATAGCCCAGCTCCTCTTTCCTTTCCTCCTGAAAGGACCAGACCCAGACTTATTCTGGGAGACTGTGAGGTAGAGTGGGAGGTGTGACAAACCCAGACCTACTGGGATATGCCACAGTTTCACTAAGCTGCCACCAACCATTCCCTATAAGAAGTCACACAGACCAGGGATGGATTTTTAACAAATAAAAGAACAAGGTTTATTAAATAACACACAGGGAAAATAAAATGATCAGGTGAATAAGATACAGTAACGTGGCTTAGTCTCAATCATACATACACACAGTTTGGTTCACACAGAACACTTAACTTGAAGCACAGACCCTGAACCTATCAGTTCTGGCTAACCATACAGACACCTGAACCTATCAGGTTGGTACTGACTGACACACAGTAGTACCCTGTCTGACACACAGACTCCCACTCAAGCTTCTTCTCTCAGCTCCCCTCCAGCTTCTCCTAACTTCTCCACACAAACTCCACATATATATACAGTACAGCCCCTCCTCCTGATGTCCCGCCTTCCACTCCCCATAGGATGGAACTTTCCCTCCAAACCCATGACAGACAGGTAACATCAGTGCTGTATGTAACACCTCCCCTCTTTATAAGTTGTTGTGTAGGGG